GGCTGGCCTGGGCAACTGTCTCAAAATGAAAAAAGGGCTGAGGATGCAGCTCAGGGGGAAAGCACTTGTCTACCATGGATGAGGCCCTGAGTTCAATCCATAGTACCACACTTTAAAAAAGAAAAATTTTTTAAAAAATACACTCTTGAATTTTCAACTTGGAATCTAGGGTATGGGGAAAGGACCAGTAGATCATCTGAAAGTAAACGCAAGGAGAGTTCCCACTATGTAGCAGAATGAACAGAACATGGTCAAGTAAATTTCAAGGATGTCAATGCTTAGAGTGAATAATATGCCTTCCAATAAACCAGAGATTTCTCCATCTTATTCAGTTAGCCCACTAGGATAAAGACTCTCACTTACAGCCCTTGGAACTATGTAGGGACATTGCCCTTTCTATCCTACACCCTACAGCTACATCATTAGTCCCATTTTGTAAGGTCTGTATTGCCCCACTTTTTTTTTTTTTTTTTAAAGACACGGTCTCACTAGATTGCCTATGTTTGCCCAGGCTGGCCTCAAAACTTGAGATACTCCTGCCTCCGCTTGGATTACAGGCATGTGTCAGCATGCTCAACTCCAGGCTGTATCTCTAAGCCTACAGGCTGCTTCCCAAGGCAGACACAAGGCATCTTGGAGTGAGAAGCCCATTAGGGTAGGGGAAGGGGGAAACCTGGGGTAGAACACCTGACCTGGCAAGACTGCCCTACTTGCACAGCAAAATATTCTTTCACCTGGTGCAAGGTCCCAACAACCACCATCCCCCATCCTCTTCTAGAATTTTCCTTTGCACTCTTAGCTCACTCTCAGGCTTCACCTTGTGGTTTTCCTCTAGCATAAGCACCTCATTTGAACCATTCTGTCCCAATGGCTTTCCTGCTTCTTCTAACAATGATAATTTTATAAACAAAGAGCTTTCCAATTAGTCTCTCCCTTTCATCCTCACAACGCCATGGCTTGGCATTCTGAAGAATTGAGGGACCTAGTCCTGCTGAACAACCTGTGAAAGGCAGGTCGTCAGAACTTTTGTTTCCTCTCTGCCACCCACCCCAGGCTAAACCTCTGCCTCTCTGGAGTACAAGAAAAAAGCAGGGCCTCTGGAGCAAGGACTCCTGAGTGTTTGGGCAAGTCGCTTCTCCTGTGTTCCTCACTTGTAAACAGATATGATGACGTCTGGTCTTTACAGGGTGTGAGAGCTGAATGAGATCATGTGTATGACGCACTGAGCTCAAGGGACGGGCTCTTTATTTCTAGTCACAAGGAAAGGAAGGTGTTCTGTACATCCACAGGCCCTGGCTCACACCAACAGCGCTGCGCACCCTGGGCTCTCCAGAGCTGGGATGGGTCCCTTTCATCCTCGGGTCCCTGCTCGTTTCGCCAAGCCCCTCCACCCTGTCCAAACAGGCTCGCCTCGCCGGTTTTCTCAGCTCTCACTCCTCAACCCGTGACTCCCTCCGACCTGACCTGAGACCTCCTCTCGCTTAGAGACCCCGCCCCTCCTCGCCCCACCTTCCAAAGACTCCTCCCACAGCCCCGACCCTCTGATCCGGGGTTTCCCACCGTCACCTTCCTCCTAGCTCCTCCCACCAGCCCCGCCCCTCTTTTATAGTTCTATTCCCCTGCCCCCGCTCTCCTCTACCCGAAACGCGCCCCTCCCCCCGCAGCCACTGGCATAGGCATCCCATTTCACAGACGAGGACGGCGAGGCTGGAGTAGGTGACCTTCCATGGTAAGACGGGTGCCCTAAGGGACACGCGTCCTTCACCGTGGGTCTCGAGCCCCCCGCCCCGGCCCGCACCGCACCCACCTCCTGCCCTCGCTCTGCAGCCTCCCCTCCGCGGGCGGCCAGCGCAGCTTTGCGAGGAGGCGGAGGGCCGGGGCCCAACCCAGGGGCGTGGCGGCTCCGAGTCTGCGCGCCGCGCTCGGGACTTGTAGTTCTCTCTGCGCTTCTCAGGGCCCGGCGCACTGGGCGCGGACTCCATCTCCCAGAAGGCGCTGCGAAGGCCGCCCAGCTTCTCGCCCCGCCCCTGCCGGCGCACAGGCCAGCTGGTCTTAAAGGGGACGCAGACCGAGTGGCGGCTCGCGGGGTGGCCCCCGCTCGGCTCCGCCCTTTTTCCCGCACCTCGCCCCTCCCCCCGCTTCGTCCCGCAGCCCCGGGGCCGCGCCGCAGAGTCGGGCTGCCTGGGTCCATACAGGGTAGTGCAGAGCTGGGTGGGAAGATTGGACTTTGCAGTGGCTGCAGCATCCTTGCGGTCTGGGACCTGGCGGAGGGCGACCCCACCCTGGGGGGAGTAGAGGACCCGCCCTGACCTGGCTTGGCCCAGCCTCGTCCTGCCCGGCCTGAGCACCCCGCCCAGGAGCCGGTTCTGAGGTAGGGCCCGCTGAGGTCCGGGAGGTAAGGGGGCTGAATGTGTATGTGCTGGGGGTTTGGGGGGGGGGGTGTCTGCACTCTGACGTTTCAAAAATCCCGGACTTGCCCTAGGGCTCTGCGAGCCCGGGGCTGGGAGGCTGGAGGTCTGAGTGCATCCTGGGCCTCGCTGTGTGACCTTGGGCCAGTAGCTACCCCTCTCTGGGCCTCAGCCTCCTCCTCCATCAATTGTATATTGAGATGGTCTAGCTCCTCAGGGCTGAGAGTAACTGCGCGCAGTTCCATAAGCTCTCCATCCTTTCGTGGGGGCCCCAGCCTGGACTAGATAGGGGTGCATTGATATAATTGGAGGGAGGGGGCTGAGTTGGGGCACAAACTGGGGGGGAGGGACAGAGGCCACCACTACTTGGAATAGACTTCTGCTGTTCTCAGCATACTGGACCTGGGGTACTTCATCTATAAAGGCCCCTGCGTTTTGGCGACCTGATGTGTCAGCTTGGTGCCTTCCCTTCCAGAAAGCCTGGAATGGGGGTGGGGGTGCGGTGAAAGAGGTTTGTGAGGGGTGGCCTCCTCAGGAGTGGTGGAGTGTGTTCCCCAGGAGGGAACAGCTGCTCCAACCTTCTTCTCTCTCATTTCCCTTCAATAAAAGAGCACTTGCTTTTCACCAGTAAAAGCTTTTTTTTTTTTCCTCCTTTCTTTCCAGGAGGCAGTTTGTTGGCCCAGACAAGGGCTCCCTGCGTAGGGTGAAGGGCTCCTTCCCAGGACTGCCTGGACTAGAAGAAGTTCAGTTAAAAATACCTAGAGAGACAGCTGCCCTGAGACCTGGAGGGGCCAGAGAGGGAGGGCACTTCCTGTTGGGAGGGACAGCTTGGTTTCCCCCCCTCACCCCCCACACGCCCAGGAGAGTCAGGAGAGGGCGGCTCCTTGTGAGGGTCCCAGAGGAGAGGAAAGGGGCTCTTCCACTGTAGGTGCTGAGGTGGGGGAGCAAGACCCCTTCTTCCCTCTCCCCCATGAGAAGATTCTGTGAGCTTTTGACCTGAGGGTTAACCAGGGACAGGTTTTTTGTTTTGTTCTGTTTTTTCTTTTTCCCTCTGTTTTGGTTGGATTATTTCTAGAATGGCTAAAGCCTGTCTCAGCCCACTCCAGTGGCCTCTGTAGGGGCTTTCTTGGCTGATATTTAAGATTCTCAGCGTTATGGACATGCAAGTCCCAGCCTGGTCCGGGGAGGGGCTGTGAATGGACCCAGGGTTAGGACTGTCTCTGGAGGTCCTTTTCTGATTGTATTCTTGGGTTTACCTTGTCTTGCTGTCACATATCATCAGCCACTTGGCACACCTTCACATACGCTTCTGTGGTCCTCTCCTGGGCACTGTGCACAGAGACGGGGATTAGACATACTTCCTACCCATGGAGAGAGACATGGAATCCAGCTGTACTGCAGAAGGATAAAAGAAGCTGAGAGGGCCTTGAGGTCTGAGCTCAAAGCCTCAATCATGGAGGGATAAGGAAAGGCCCCCTAGAGGAGGGGCTTGGGAGCTGGACATTGCAGGATGAGCCAGAATTTGTAGGAGAGAAGAGGGAGACAGCCGGCAGAGAGGACATCAAGAAGAGCCCACTGCCCATGTCTCCTGAGCGGCCTCTGAACAGTGTCAAGTTCAGCCCATCCCTGCCCCACGGTGTCACAGACCCATCTGTGACAGCCTGAGTGTCAGGCTCAGGAGTTTGGACCTTATCCTGAAGGGCATGGCAGGATGGAGCTCGTGATACCATGAGGTTAATCTGTGGAGAGTAGTGAAGGCCGAGCTGGGGCCCAGGGTGTGGGGTTGGAGCCAAGCATTGGAGCTGTGGGGACAAACACACCCGTATGTACACATATACCCACTGGGTGTTTGTGGATGATGGAGATGGCACATAGTAGAAGTGCCAAGGGTCATCCGAGAAAGACTGATAAATGGATGTTGGCCTTGGGTAGGGACTGAGTTTCCTGTGTGCTTACTGTGAGCCCTGGGGGGTTCTGGTGTTGCTGGGACTCTCGGGCTGTCGTGCCAGCAGGCTGAGGGTGCAAGCTAAGGGCTTGGGTGGCGGTGAGGCAGGCATGCTTGCTGGGAAAGGTTAAGGGGTGGGCAGGTAGTCATGTCCATTTTGGAATTTGGAGGTTCAGAAAGCTGAGAAAGCACTGACCTCAACAGCTGTGGCCACCAACGCAGGTGGTGTCTGAACTAGAGTCAAAGCCTGGACTCTGTTCTCCTCCAGGACACAAGCCTCTATTGGAGGACAGGTTGAGGGAGGGAATGAGAAGATGGGTTAGGAGATTACTGCACTAGTCCAGGCAAGGAGGAAAGAGGAGCTGACCCTGGGTGGGGCTGGAGCTCAGGGAGAGAGGCGGAAACACTAAGTTGACATGAGGGCGGGCTAATAGAGGGACTTCCTTGTCGAATCAGCTAGATCAGCGGCACCTGTCTCCTTCTCCAAACCATGTCTGTTTCTCCCCTCACTGCCAAATGGCCCAATAATAGACTCACAACTGCCCTGGCCTTCATGTTCTTTAGACCTTGTCCCAGCCCTGTGAGTGGCAGGCCCACAGCAGACCCCATTTTCCAACAGAAGGCTGAGGAGCCAGGCAGGAACTCACCCAAGGTCACCTGGTGATTCCAAATGAGAGAACCTGGTCTCCTGCTTTTAGTGCAGGCTCTTCTGAGGGAGGAGAGCTGCTCTTGCTGCTGCAATTGGCATGGGACAGCTGTCTCTTGGGTCCAAGCCAGTGTGGACAGGCCATGTCTTCATCCAGGGCCTGGCAGGGTAATCCTGCCCCGTGAGGAATGCCGGCGGCCTGCTCTTTCCTCCCCAAGGGAGAAAGTTCAGGGCCTAATGCTGCCCTGGTAAGGTCACATGACGCTCCCTCTCTAAGCCTCAGCCTCCCTGTTCCTGCTGGGGTAGCAGACTTCCCTGGCCTTTTGTGGGGTCAGGTGAGGTCAAAGCCTTTAAAACCCTTTTGCACGAATGCATCTGAGATGTTATTGAGTGGGTTTGTTGGTGACCATGGTGACTGCTGACCTGACTGCTGGCGTAGGAGTGGGGGCAGGTAAGCAGAGCTAGTGTGGTGTGGCCGGGCCACAGACTGAGCTGGGCTTTGAGGCTGGCCCTGACATGGAACAGCACTGTGGCCTGGGCTCCCAGCTGCCAGGCACCACCCACCTTCTGTGGTAGGTATTAGAACGATATGGAATCGCTGCGGTTGGGTCACTCGGCTGCTAGCATCTCATTGGTGAGGGCTTCTCCTTAGCTGCCTGAGGGCCAGGGTTTCTTGGCACCTGGTTTGAAAACATGTTAAATCCACTAGCCTACAGGGCAGGTGGAGGCCATCGCAGGGATCTGAGAGTGGGCCACACCAACTGCCGTGTCACAGGCCCTGCCTAAGAAAGAAGGCTGAAGGGAAATCTATTTGTTTTTTTTTGTGGTGCTGAGGATTGAACCCAGGGCCTTACACAGGCTGGGCAAGTGCTCCTGCATGGAGCTGTCCCCCCAGCCCAGGAGAGAGTTTCAAAAGATGCTTTAAAGTCCTTTTGGGATCACGCCTTGCACTGGCACTCTTTACAAATGTGTCTGTCCACCACCAGACACATTTAAGTGGCTGGGACTTTGCTTCCTAAAGCAACAGGAAGTGACATTTTCTGAGAACTTTCTTGTGCCTAGCATCATGCTAAGGATTGTCTTCACAGCCCTGCAAGGTGGAAATAAGCTTGAGGAGCATATGTAACCTTCATGGTAGCCAGAATGCATCCCAGATGAGCCTCACTGGAAGAGGGAAAAGGCTAAGTCTGACACACCATTTGCCCCGCTTCCTAGTTCAGGAGACCTAGGTGGACCCTGGGCAACTGTTTTTTTTTCCCCCAAGACAGGTTTTTGTTTAAAAAAAAAAAAGCAAGCAACAAAAAGATGCATTCCATTTAATAACAAAATGTAAAAATAGAAGCCAAGTGATATTTGAAAAGCTAGCTAAGCAATAGATTTAAAAAATAAAGGGGCTGGGTAGCTCATTGGTAGAACACTTGCACAGCATACATGAAGCCCTGGGTTCAAACCCCAGCACTGTCAAGCATACAAAGGCCTACAGTTAGATGCTAAGGGCTCCTGAATTTTTAACACGTGTCCAGGTGATTCTGAAGCAGCCAGGCCAGCATCTGGGAATCACTGAGCTGTGTCATGGCTGCATCCTCTAACCACAGAAAACTCTTAAGAGTTCACTTTCTCAGCACAGGAGACACCAACCACCTAGAAGTAGACTCTTGTCCCTGCTCCAAGGAGTTCACAGCCTGGTGAGAGACACAGACTCTTCTTAAACAAATGGGCTTCTTACACAATAAAATGCAGTAGTGCAACTCTGGTCACAGTCAAACAGAGAAGGGAGCATAGTGTGTCCCTAGGGTCTGGCACATTGTTGGGGTCCCAGAATATCTCAGCTTCTGAATCAAGTTTTCTGTCCCGTTATCCAGGATGTGTGTGGCTGGTCTTCACACCAGCTGCAGGTATGAAGCTCCAGAAGTTTTTACCAAGCCAGTAAGTTTAGTTAACACCTACTATATGCTGAGCCTTGTATCAGGTCCTATCTAAGGTGGGGTTGCACAAAGAAGTTGAGAGTTAGGTATGAAGACAGCACGCTGTACCCATGGAAACGAGCATGAGAACCAGGAATCCAAATGGATGAGCATGGGGCAAGAGCTTCCAGGAAAGGGCAGAAGGAAGGCTCTGTGGCTCAGAGGAGTATGGTTGAGGTAACTCGCTTTCTCCTCTGTATTTGCCCTCCCAAGAAATGCCTACTATGTGCTAGGCATTGCTGTGTGCTGGGGATACTGTGGGGAACAAAATCTGACCTCAGGAACCACATATAATGTTGTTGGGGAGGCTGACTTCAATCAAGTAATACTAAATGCTATAAAGAGAGACAAGATGTTCGGATTTTTTAACAAGAGGGTCTGACTCAGGCAGGGAGGTCAGGCAAATCTTCCTTGATGAAGTGAGTTTTCAGCTGAGGTCTCCAAACAAGGAGAAGGAAGAGCATGCACAAAAGCCCAGTGGCAGAGAGAACATGACACACCAGGAATGAGCGGTCCAGTGTAAGTTAGGGCTGGAGAGGCAGGCAGGGCTCTAGGTGGGCAGGACTGTGGACCCTGACCCAGAGGGAGGGCTGAGCATAGAGAGGAGATGCTGGGCCTTGGTAGAGAGGATGGGGACCAGCACTAAGTGATTGCAGCTGTCATAAAAGAACAGGCTACAGGTGGTCATAGGAATCGAGGGTCAGGATTGGCTCATGCCTAGTGCCTCAAGATGGCCTCCATTAGGACAGTGTTTTAGATAGACTTTTAGAAAAATAGGAGCTTGCCTGGCTCATGTGGTGATGGGACTTGGAACTAGGATGTGCCAGGCAAAAGGCACAGCATAAAGAAGTGGGGACTTGCAAAGGTGTACTAATTTGGGAAGGGCAAGGCATTTGAGTGAGGGCAGAATACACTGTGTGAGATAGCCAGGGCTGGCCCCCACAGGCAGTGAGTCCTCTCCCCTAGAAGATGTGACTTGACCAGGACTCCACACAGCAGCTTCTAGATCCAGTATTATCTACCTGCCCCAGGAATGGCTGAGGTCTCCAGGGAAGCATGGGGAGAGGAGGTGGGCAGGTGTGCTGCAGTGAGAGCCCCTGACTCCCTGGGGTTTACTGTGTGCCAGGTTTTGAGCTTTACCTTGTCAGGACTCCTTCCAGAGAGGTAGGTATCATTACCCCATCTCACAGATGAGGAAATTGAGGCCCAGAAAGGTTGAGTCGCTCAGCACTGAAGGGACAACAGCAGAAAACGGACCATAGCTCTTGAGCCCCACAACTGTTGGGCACGGTATGACCCCACTTCCTGTCCCCTGCAGCTAGACCGTCATGGACAAGATCCTGGAGGCGGTGGTGACCTCGTCATACCCTGCAAGCGTGAAGCAAGGGCTGGTGCGGCGCGTCCTGGAGGCGGCACGGCAGCCACTGGAGCGGGATCAGTGCCTGGCCCTGCTGGCCCTGGGCGCGCGCCTCTATGTGGGAGGCGCCGACGAGCTGCCGCGCCGCGTGGGCTGTCAGCTGCTGCACGTGGCCGGCCGCCATCACCCCGACGTCTTCGCCGAGTTCTTCAGCGCGCGCCGCGTGCTGCGCCTGTTGCAGGGTGGCGCGGGCCCGCCGGGTGCCCGCGCGCTGGCCTGTGTGCAGCTGGGCCTGCAGCTGCTGCCCGAGGGGCCCGCGGCTGAGGAGGTGTTCGCGCTGCTGCGGCGCGAGGTGCTGCGCACCGTGTGTGAGCGCCCGGGGCCCGCCGCCTGCGCGCAAGTGGCCCGGCTGCTGGCGCGGCACCCGCGCTGCGTGCCCGACGGCCCGCACCGCCTGCTCTTCTGCCAGCAGTTGGTGCGCTGCCTCGGCCGCTTCCGCTGCCCCGCGGAGGGCGAGGAGGGAGCGGTGGAGTTCCTGGAGCAGGCCCAGCAGGTGAGCGGGCTCCTGGCACAGCTGTGGCGCGCGCAGCCTGCCGCCATCCTGCCCTGCCTCAAGGAGCTGTTTGCAGTTATCTCCTGCACAGGTGCGTGTGCGGCGGGGCCAGAGCACGGGCCCGCCGAGGTCCTGGATGGGTCCTGGGGCAGGAGGCTGTCTGTCTGTGTGGATTGTCTGCATATTAGGCGGCACAGTAGCGCGGCAAGTGTGTGCGAGGGGTGATGCACAGGTGGGGGATTGCGCTGTTACTTCACTTAGTTAGCAGTCCTGTCCTGAGCACCACTGTGGATCCTCTGCCATGGCGGGTGCTGGAAATGCAGGCAATAGTGGGCTGCCTGATACACAGGAGCAAGAGGGAAGAATGGGCTAGGGGAAGCCACAGAGTGGTGGGTCATCGAGGCTTTTGGGTCAGGTGGGCTGCCTGGAAGTTAGGCTCTTGAACCTGGTCTTGAGAGATTGGCAGCACCTGGCAGCAAGGATGATGAGGTGAGGGTCTGGAGACCTTAAGAAGCTTGCAGGTGTACTGTAGAATCTTGTCCCTCCTTTGGCAGCTGTGGAACTGAATTCTAGGGCAAATGACTGAAAGAAGACCTTTGCCTTCCCTGATCTTAGGGCTAGACAGGGAAAGGAACTGGACTACACCAGGCAGGAAACAGAACCAAAGCTCTGTGTATAGCCAACACCTGGGCAATGAATCTGGATAACTCAACTGTAGGCCCATGTCTATATGCCTTTCCTCCCAAGTGCACCCTCCCCTCCTACTTTTTCTGGCTAGTTCTAGTGTTATGCCTTCTAAAGGACTTTCCCCTGCACCACAGTTGGGGGTTGGTGCTTTGTCTTGGGGACACAGCTGGACCAGGCTGGGACCTGGCAAGGTGGTGAATGGATGAGTGAGCAGCAATCCGAGGCTGTGATGCTGTAGGGGGAGAGGAGGTGGCCCTGATGTGCTCTTTGCAGAGGCCTAGCTTGTAGTTCCGTGGCAGCATGAGGGCAGGGAGTGGTGGGGAAGGGAAGAGGATTGCCTGCCTGGCTAAGCTTAGGCTGTTTTCCTGTTCCAGAGGAGGAGCCGCCATCTAGCGCCCTGGCCAGTGTGGTCCAGCACCTCCCCTTGGAGCTCATGGATGGTGTGGTCCGGAACCTCAGCAATGATGACAGTGTGACGGACTCCCAGATGCTGACTGCTATCAGCAGGTGGGAAGCTGAGGGCTGGGCAGTGGGGAGGGCTGGGCAGTGGGCAGGGCTAGGGCCCCTCCCTTTCTTCCTCCCAGAAGCCCCTTCCGCTGGGTGTGGATGCTGTGCT